TTAGAATCATTTCTATTATATTTCTATTTATACTTGAAATACTATTTCTAGATGTAGAGGTTTCTTCATTATTTCTAATACTTATTTCATTAATTGTTCTTGATCTTCCTAAGAATGGATTCATCTTGGGAATTTATATTCTTTTGGTAACCTTCTATTTATTTTTCTTTACCTGTATTTTTAAAACTTAAATTTTCTAACTTATCTGTTAAAAATTTTAAATCGTTTTCTAAATATGATGTAGATTGTCTATTTTATGAACTTTATCTTATCTAAATTATCAATTTTCTTATGTAATGATAATAAAAGTGCAATTATTAAATTATTCTGTTTAATAATTATAGATTCTGTTGTTTTTGGTGAAGTATGTTTAGTAAGTCCTTCTAGTCCTTCGTGGAAATTTTTGCAAAATTCTGATGCTTCTAAATAATTTCTGTCATTAATTAGTAACAATATCTTTTAATTCTTTAACTAATTCTTCTATTCTTATTATTATCTTCTTCAAAATAACCACAAATATCACTACTATATGTAACCTTATATATTAATCTATTTTTTCTTATTCCTGTTTTTTTTTTTAAGACATATCAACTTTAACCTAATCCCTTTCTCTAAGGTCATCCGTGGCACTCCCTTAAAGAATTCATAGATTAATTGATTCCCTTTCCCTAGCATCAAGAGAAGTTAAGAAAGGGCACCCTCACCCTAATATTCTCACTTTTCTAGGTCACTCAGGCATTAACCTACAAACAGTAAGCCTACTAAGTACTAAGAATTAAGTTATGCTTTTATGATATGCTTAAGATGAAATGAAACATTATGCAACATAATTACATAATTTAAAACACAATAAATCTTTACAAAAATTAAAAATGTTTTTGCAGGGATTTATAAAGACATTTTAAAGAAATAAACTAAGGATTTCCCTTTCGGGATGTCCCTAAAAGATTTAAAATAAACTTTAAGAACTTTTATACCTTGACGGATTTGTACAAATTCTGATTCGGCTATACAGTTTTTGGATTGAGAATTTTTCTTCAAGGAAAGGTTTATACAGGTTGTAAGCTCATGCCTTCTCCAAATGAAAATACTTCCTTATATAGAGAAATTCTTGGGAGCAAAATGTCTAAATTATCCCTAATGAGAATATTTCTTTTTACAAAAGTCTATCCGAAATCTTTCAAATCTTTCATGTCAATCTTTGTATGAGAATCTTCACTGTTTTTGCACTATCTTTGATCTTTGTCAATTATTTTGTTTTGGAGCGTCGACTGCTTTACTCTAAGCCCCTGTTTGGTACACATTATTTTTGGCCAAATAGAAAAAAATCCGACCGTTGCAACAGACAAAGCCTGACAAAAGGTTCAGCTCTACAGTGCCAATTTTGACAATTTCTAAATTGGACTTCCACATTTACCCTCACTGTCATTTAAAAAATTCAACAGCAAAAAAATGATTAAAGGGCAAAGTTGTAAAAAAATCACTACAATTGCTTGCCTATGAAACATCTTCTTCTCTTTGTGGACATTCTGAAATTTCTTTTTCTTTTACGTCTTTCTTTTCTAAAATTGTCTCAAAAGCTTTTTTGATTGCTTCATCATTTCTTTTCTTTTTCTTAATGACAATTTTCTTTTTTCTTCTGGAAGAAGTTCCTTCATCATTCTTTGATTGTTTTTGGAATTCTTGAATTTGGGCTAAAATCTTATTAATTGGAATCAAATCTTCATCCGGATCTTGACTTTCTTGAAAGAGTGCTGGATCTGGATCTTGACTATCTTGAACAATAGCTTTACCTTTGTCATTAAGATCTTCTTGGTTATGTGATGAACTTGGAAAATCTGAAATTTGATTTTCTGGTGGACTATACTAAAAAATCATATTTACCACTAGGTTGTCCTAACAAATCCCAAATCTCTTTACTTTTTTCTGTAACAGATTTATCAGTCTGTTGAGTCTGTTGAGTCTGAAAAAATGCTCTAGTAGAATCAATAGTCTTCTGAGTTTGTTGAACTTTTGGCAAGTTCATAGCCATCAACAGATTTGAAAAATCTTTACCAACTACCGTTTGAGTTGGATTAGCTATTGACTTCTTAGGCTCAATAGTACCTTTGGATAAACTGAGTTTTAACTCAATTATTTCTTTTTCAAGCTGAGTGATCTTTTTCTGGAGGGAGGTTCTTTGAGACATGAGATCTTGATTGGATTCATTAATTATTCTAAAATTATTCTGCATACATTCACAATGTGTACAAAAAATATTTTTGTCTTTGCTTGGAGAAAAGTCTAATGGAGGATCTGAAAAGTTTTTGAGAGAAGGTGAAATATAAAAGTTTATTCCAATGTTCTGTCTAGCTGCTTCAAGAGCTTCTTGAAAATTTGTAAAACCTTTATATAATGGATCTTTAAAATCTTTAATACAATCTAAAACTTCTAACCATGTATGAAAAACACCAGGGTTTTTCCCTTTAACAACAACATAAAACTTATGCTTACATCTATTCTGATTAAAATGTTCTGACAATGCATTTAAACATGCAAGAAAATATTTTTGATCTTTTGGGTTTTTGTTATATGAAATCCAAATAGAAGTTCTTGATTACCAAATCTATATCTTTCTTGGTAATATGGCCTGTTCTGAGTAGATGAAGTCTGTAACAATGCATTTGATGCAAAAGAATTTCCCGGAGGAATTCCTGGTCTGGGATGAGGTCTGGTCATCTGTGAAATTTAAACCAAATTAATCCCATAAAAATTTCTATTAATAATTCTACTTAAGATATCTGCTGCTTTGTTATCACTACATTTTATATATTCAAAATTTATACTCATTCCAGTATTAACTATTCTATCTATAAAATTTAACCATCTCCTTCTACTACTCTTTTTTGAATCTAACTTTAATTTATTAGAAAAGGAAACTATAGCTTCACAATCTGTTCTTATAGTTATTTGTTTTTTAGAAATAATAAATAATTCAAAGCTATCTAGGTGCATAGTTTACTGCTAATAATTCTGCATCTATATTACTCATATTACCCTTTTCTTTATAATTCCCACTATTAGGGTCCGTTTGATTGCAATGGCGGAAAATGGGTGGAAAGAAAATGTTTTACAGGGAATTGATTTTCTTAGAAAATGTTTTAATAGGAATTGTAATTAATTGTGTTTGATTTGTATAATTTTCCATGGAAAATGTTGAAAATTTGGTGTCCATTTGACTTCGTTTTTCATGGAATTTGTCCATTAAAATGATAATTTTTTTTACTATTGAGT